TTTTGCTTTTACACGTGAACTGCATTTGACTCCAATATTGAACAAATCACAATTTCACAGTCCTTCTTGACACCGCATTTTTCTTCACGAATCGTCCCTCATCATCAACCCAATTAACCCCAATTGCGAATCCAAAATCAAAACTTATCTGTTTTCATATGCGAACCCAACTTCTACTATAGTCTATGATATAGTTTTTTATTTTTTATAACTGTCATGTTACCCTTTTCCACTTCGTTTACTCCAAAACGACCATATTGCCCCTAACTTGAAAATGTTTTGATAAATGCCAATTAACAATTAAGACAAATAAATAAATAAATAAATCAATGGCTTTTGATTTTTCTTTTTATATTTTAACATTTTTGTTAACAAAACAATTATTTTTTAATTGCAAGGTACAATGGAACATATTACTCCTATAAAGGAAATTGACTCAATTAAGGATGATTTCACAATTAAAGTTCGAATCATACATCTTTGGACTCAAAAGTCAAAATTTAATGCAAAAGAAACATACTCGATAGAAATGATTTTGATGGATGAGGAGGTATATGATGTATATATTCAATTATTATTTTTGTAAAAATTTTGTATATATTTATAAACAATTATATATAATTATTTGTTATTTGTTTATTTTTTAGGGAAGGAAAATTCATGCATCTTGTGTGAAAAAATGGTTTCCAAAATTCAAACGCTATCTTAAAGAAGATATTTCGATATATGTGAAGAAACCTAATGTCGCACCAAATACTTTAAATTTTAAGTTTGCTGATCCAGAAAGAAAACTTAACTTTTACCACGATACAACTGTGAAAGAGTGTGAAAATTTTTCTGGATCTGCACACGGCTTTGATTTTGTTGACTTCAATACAATCGTTTCGAACAACATCATGGAGTCAAAATCTTTTGGTTAGTTCATTTAATATTAACTTTTGTTATATAACATCCTACTTTCTTTTTTATCTGCTACAAATTGATAATTTTTTTTAACTTAAGCAATCTATTTTGTTGCTTTTCAAGATATTATTTGACACATATTCGAATATGGGCGTATGGATACATCTGAAGAAGATAAATCAAAACACAAAATGCTCTTGCATCTTCAAGATATAGAGTATTTACCATTATGACAAATAAATAATATACTTTCTTTTATATTAGCTACAATATTTTTTTATTCTTGTCAGGGATACTAAAGCTTAAGGTAACTTTGTGGGGTCATAATGCATACTACATGACAGAATTTCTGGCTAATAATAACAGCCTTGCACCGGTTGTTGTTATTGTTTAGTTTGCCAGAGTGAAGTTTATTAATGGTTTGTAATTATTTTTAAAACGTATTTTTAAAAAATTTATATATAATTAATTAATCAGAAGTATTTTTGCAGGTCGTCTTTTTTCCTCCACTTACTTTGATGTTAGTAGGTTGTTCATAAACAATGATATCGATGAGATTACAAGCTACAAAAATAAGTATTTATATTTATAATGACCATTGTAGTTTGAGATTTATTTTTTTCATAATGTATTTAATTTAATTATTTTTTTGTTATGAATTAACAGATTGGTTTCTGAAAATGGACAACAACTTTCGTCAAGTGGAATCAAGATGATTGCATCAAAACAAAACACGGAACACGATGACTTTCTCAAAAATCATATGTTTTCTAACATTGATGATTTGTTTGAACCTTTAGAGGTACTTTACATTATTTTTAAACAAACTATATTGTTAGTAAGAAACAACCAAAGTATATTGTTATAACGAAACTATAATGCATTTTTGCATACTAACATTTATTCAGATTGCACATTTTTTTAATTTCAAGGAGAAAACGGTCATTATTGTTGGTACTGTTAAGGGAATACGTCAAAACATACGATGGTATTACCTTGCTTGTAGCAACTGCTACAAGTCAGCAAAAGAAAAAGAGTCTTCTACTGATAAGGTTGATGGTTCACATGAAGTGGCCGAAATTGTTACTTATAAATGTTCTAATCCTAATTGCAAAAATATCAAAATTTCGGTTATTCCAAGGTATTATATATTTATTTTATATAAAAACAATATATGTTTATCATAATTTTTTAATATAATATCATTTTATACTTTATTTAGATTTAAAATCCCACTTCGGGTTCAAGACAACACAGGAACTTTGACTTTAACCTTATTTGATCAAGAAGCAAAGAAGCTGTTTAAATACACAGCTAAAGAGTTGTATGATAAAAACAAGAAGGTAATTATTTTATGGTTTTTAATATATTCTATATGTTATACATTATATGTTTTACATACAAAATATCTAACAATATTTATTTTTATTTTAGCTTGGCATCAGTTTGGATTTGTATCCAATGGAGTTGAAAGTTGTTGTTGACAAAAAGTTGGCAATTAAAATTGATATCACGAGTTACAATGTGGATAATAAAATTAATATTTATGGGATAGCAAGATTGACTGAGAATGCAAACATAATTGATGAACTAGAGAAAAAGAATCTGAATTCACAGGTTTTTTTTCAACAATTATATATATATATATATATATATATATATATATATATATATATATATATATATATATATATACGACATTGGCCCAATTATACATGAGTAAAATAACATTTTCTTTTGATCTTATAATGCAGCATGATAATTCTGATTCATTCATTATTGGTTCTTCAGATATTGCCTCCCAAGAGACCAAAGTTGTGAAGGTTCTACTTTTTTAAATATAATTTTTAAATATTTCAATTTAATGTATAAGAACTAACTAAAATTTATTGTAGGATTCTTTTTCACACACAGGTGAAAATTTAACACCGTGTGCTAGGGACAACTCAACTGCAACAAGTCCTACAAAGTTGTTTTCTACACCAACCGAATTAAAAAGAAACCTTGCTACATGCATAGATCTTGATGAAATGGAGAATTTGTCTACTTCTAAAACTCCTCGGTTGTCACCACCAGATGAATAACCAATCCCTCTTTTGGTACCCAAGAAAGAAAAGTAAATGCACTTTACTTCTACAAACAATATTACTTCGTGCTTAATTTTGTTTCGGCATCATAGACTCCTAAGCCGTTTACATTTTAAAGTTTCTTTATTTTAAGTTGGATTTATTGGAATTTTATGATTTTCATATTCGTTTCTTCATATTACATTGGCTCAACTTTTTCAGTACTCTAATGGCATTTACTATGTTATTTTGTTTCACGTTTCTGAACATCATATAATCCCAAAATTATTATTCACTTAACAATCACGCTACCCTATTAAAATATTCATCATTGATCTTAATTTTGGTCCCTATTTTCTTCTTACCTTTTATTCCTTTTGGTTTGTTCATTATGTAATTATCACATGTCACTTGGCTTGAATGTGCAGAATTTGATTCATTTTTTAAAGCATAAAGATCTCAAAATTGTCAATTCGTATTAATTATATACTGCATATTATTTGCACAAAGTCTGTTTCATTCTCTTTTATGTTCTTATTGCATATTAGAAGGATACCAACATACTTTAGCTTTTATGCTAACTTATTCTGTTTTTTTTTGTTTTCTAGCGTGTCCTAGGTAGAAAGAAAACTCAAAATATGTTCATTGGCTTCATTTATATTGTTTTTTTTTCATACTGACAGTAAAAATGAAATAATAAATATTGTTTTATGCTACTAACCTTAACATCACCAAATAATAAATATTGTTTTATGATACTAACCTTAACATCACCAACTTTTGTTACTAGCCAAAAGTATTGCTCTTTCAATAGTAAACAAAAAATGAAAAATAAATGAAAAATTATAAAACAACACAAAAAATCAAAAAGGAAATCAATAAGAACATGGTTTGGCATGCGGAATTAAAGCTTGCACAATTGAACATGGTGATTTGGGTGTTTAAGAGATATATTGAATGTATATGGTGTTACACAAAAAGGATCTAGATCTAGACTACATAATTAACACACACTTACACACTCACTTGCGAAGTTGGACCACTTCTATTATTTCTTGAAAAGAGCAGGGACCAAATGCGAAATTCTTAGCTTTCTTCCCCAATTCGCATTCTACTGTAAAATTCGCATTCTTCATTCACCCTCTTTCTTCGCATGTTCCAGTCATTTTTTTTTAGTTCATTCGCATTTGAGTTGTTTGTCTCACCAAATGCGAAATGAATATTAACCATAATCACCTTCACATCTTTAACCCCAATCCATACAACCTCATATGCGAAACCCAATTTTGATTTGTATTACCAAATGCGAACATTTTTGCTTTTACACGTGAACTGCATTTGACTCCAATATTGAACAAATCACATTTCACAGTCCTTCTTGACTTCGCATTTTTCTTCACGAATCGTCCCTCAATCATCAACCCAATTAACCCAATTGCGAATCCAAAATCAAAACTTATCTGTTTTCATATGCGAACCCAACTGATTGACTTTTCAAAATCAAATTCGCAACTCCAAATCGTTCGATTATTCGCCCCAATTCCAAAATCAAATAACAGATCCTTCGTATGATTCATTCAATAACCAAGGCTTCGTTCCAGAAAACATCGCCTTTAACAGTTATTCGTTCCCACAATCTTTAACCTCCGTTTAAAATCGATCCCTGTATACAAACCCAATAACCAATCGAACACATACCATTCGAAAACAATAATCATTACACCCTTCAACAGATTTGACATCACATTTCAAAACAATCGATCTTACTTCATCTGCTTGATATAAATTGAAGTCCAAACTTATTTTCGCATAACGAAATCTTCAAAACAAGTTTCAATCAAAATTGATTTTATTATGTAAATTCGACTTCAATCATCCCACTCAACCATTGAAATTCACTGATCAAGAATAACACCAAATCAATTTTGACTTTCTTTCTTAAACCATTGACTGTTGAATACTCATCTCACAACACAATCACTCAAATTCGATTTTCAATTTTGAAGATTCGAACTCATACTCCCGCTTTCGATTTTAATGCAAATTTGAAATTCAATTCTGAGTAACAAACGTTTGATGATGTCAAACTAGAACTCAAGAACAAATCGATCGATATCAAAAACCAATGGTACAACAAAGTAAAGCAAGAGTACAAGTCAAGTGATGAAATAATGAACACATATACTTATACAAGTTTAAAACCGACATTTTTACACTATTGTAACCGATTTACTCAAAAAAAGACCATATTGCCCTTAAGTTGAAAGACTAAACTAACAAAAGTTGAACTGTTGCAATGGTTTTATTTCTTTTGTTACTCACCAAAAACACTACAATATTCAACAATTAAACTAATTGGCTTAATATGTTACCTTGATGAAAGAGCATAACAACAAACAACACACCTGGAAAACAGTGTAGCAACAACAATTTCTGCATAACTCTTCTTCTCAGATGTAAAAAATGTACCAACACCAATCTCTGGACCATCATTTTCCTGTTCAGGTTCCAAAAAACAAATTTATATGTTCATACATATGTTTTTCGTTGCTGGTCCATTATTGAAAACATAAATTTAGAAATCAACAAAAATCATCAAATTTGTCGATTTCCAAATTTTGTATATTTTACATAAATAAAAATCAATCTTTTCTTAATTTAATTAAGTACATAAATATTATGTATGAATAATCACCTGAATAATCGCATTTTCAAATTTCAAATTTCAAATTTTGAAGTTTTGATTGCTGAAAAGTCTTCAAAACAGCCAATAATTTATTTCAATAATTTTACGTTTTTTTCCACTTCTCTGTATGTCTTCTTCTGTGTACACTCCTACTCCATCGATTCTCCTGCAAAATTAACAGGTAAGTTTTATTTTTACTTTAATCTATTTTCTGTGAGAAAAAATTAACAAATACGACGAAATTGCAAAATTTTCTAAATAGATATTGGTGGATACCCGAACTAGATAAACGAAGGAAGAAAAAACAAATGAATATGTAGCATATACATGTAATCGACTTCGGTTGATGACATACATATAAGAAATCGATAGATGAAAACAAAATGTTAGAAATTAAACACATGAATGAACGATACTTACTGTAATCGGGATGATAACGATTTTAATATGGGTGGTGAATCATAACGATTTTGTTAGGGCAATAATATTGGATTTATAAATACCATTCATCCAATTTCTCTAACCTTCAAATCCAGAAAGGTAAAGTTACAAATGGGTGGGAGGAGGATTGCTTCTGTTTGTGCCGATTACATTTCCCATTTCCCAAAATGTATAATTTGTCTGTAACCACAGATATTATAGCTACAAATTTATTATTTAAGATTTATAAATAAAAATAAACTATATAATATAAGTACATATATTCTTAATTTACGGTTCATTTTTAATACAAAAGTGTAAATGCATTTCTATAATATTAAATAAAATTGAATTATTGTATTGGTTGATTAAAACATTTTGTATATCCTTCAATTTTGGAAAACTACAACAATACAAGTTATTTTCAAGAAAGAGCAATACTTGCTCCAAAGAATGAAGTCGTTCAGGAAATAAACGATCGTTTGTTATCGAAGTTTCCAGGAGATGAGGTTGAATACTTAAGTTCAGATAGTATATGCCAATCTGAATTTGTCCATGATCAGTTTGATGCAAATTTATATTCACCTGATGTTTTAAATGGTCTAAAGGTATCAGGTTTACCAAACCATAAGTTAGTTTTAAAATCGGTGTTTCAGTTATGTTGCTGAGAAATATTGATCAGAAAAATGGCTTATGCAGTGGGACAAGACTCCAGGTTATATCATTGGGCAAATGTGTTATTGAGGCGCATATCATATCTGGAACTAATATTGGAAACCGTACTTTTATTCCAAGAATGTCTTTAACTCCATCAGAAAAGAAGATTCCCTTCAAATTCCGAAGAAGACAGTTTCCATTGGCTGTATGTTTTGCAATGACCATTAATAAGAGTCAGGGACAATCATTATTGAAGGTTGGTTTGTTTCTCAAACATCCAGTGTGTTCACATGGGCAATTGTATGTTGCCTTATCTAAAGTTCAAAGCAGAGATAGATTAAAATTATTAATTTTAGATAAGGACGGTGCCCTCACAAATCAAACTTCCAATGTTGTTTATAAAGAAGTTTTCCAGAATTTATAAACAGTGTTTTTGTACCATATTTTATTTACTTGTAAAAAATAATATTTCATCCATCATATTAAATAAACAATTTAAAACACTTTATTGCATTTCATTTATTCATGTAAATTACAATATCACTATTCTTCACTTTTTGTAAACTTTGATATGTTTTTTTATTACACAAACAAAATGAAAATTATAATTCTATTTCAATTTATCAACCGTGGATTTCCACGGGTTTTAACCTAGTATATATATATATATATATATATATATATATATATATATATATATATATATATATATATATATATATATATATATGGGAAAAGTGAATATACCCTTAAGGGTATATATGCTTAGGTACCCAAACACATCATAATACGTTGTTTTGTTTGATATATTCATTATAATGTTCTTAAACTTCAACCCCCAACGTTATTTACTTTGAATATTTTCAAATTTTCACTATTATCTTTCTCTTTTATCATATCTTTTTGTCGAACACTTACTAGGATTTATATATTGTCGTTGAAAATGAAAATTATTTAAGATAAAGATAAATGTGTAATTTATAAAAATCATGGAAGTAATCAAGTTAGAAGTTAAATTAATGAGCATTGTACAATTAGAATGTATTATATGATATAAAACGATGTAGTGTGGTGAGTTTGGGTACCTAAGCTTATATACTTTTAAGGGTATATTCACTTTTCCATATATATATATATATATATATATATATAATATATATATATATATATATATATATATATATATATATATATATATATATATATATATATATATATATATATAAAAGAGTTATTTGGAAAACAAAAAGAAAACCCTAAAAATCATAAAAATGCATAAAAAAAACCTAGGTATTACAAAGATTTTTTTTTTTTTTAAATTTTTTTATCAAAAAATCGCAGCCTTTTTGACAATTTCGCTAAAAAAAAACATTAAAAAAAATTATTTTTTTTTGTAATTTTTTTTCAAAAACATTTTCAACGATTTTATGTTAAAAGCTGCGATTTT